TGGGGCTTTCCTTCTGTCTGAATCTGGCCTCAGCAAGGGCGGCGACTTGGCTCGGCGTTACCGTGGTTGTTGGTTTGGAGGTGGTCGTCGCTCCGAGAAGATGCTGGATGCTGGTGGGGTGGGCATGCGACTCTGGAGGAGGACGATGGCGGGGGTTGGTGGTGCCCCTCCCGCCAGCGGGTCTCGGCGCGTAATGGGTGCGGAGTGGGCCCACAGGAAACTGCCAATGCGTTATTCCCTTTGTCCGGATTTAAAGAGTCGATCGACCACTTACTCCCTTTGTCCGGATTGGTTGTCATAGGTCTTAGGTTGACCCCTATATTCCAAATCATGCAGGTAATAATATATTTCTAGATTGTCTCATATGCCTTCTCGATGTGCCAGGCCATGTTTTTTTTCCTTTTGCGTGGCGACAATGGTTCGTTCAAGTCACCAATCCTCATCCATGGATCTTTCTCTTTTGGGCTTATTCACACTAACGACGATCCCATGTGGTGCCTCTCCCGAGCATGGGGTTCTCAATAGACAAAAATGCCCCGCTGCCTCTGGCTATGCGGAAACAAAACCCTCCAGTCGCATGTGGTTGTGCCCTCTTCTTGCTTCAACATTCTTATCTCACATTATTGGTTGTCATAGGTCTTAGTTTAACCCCTATATGCCAAATCTTGCAGGTGATAACATATTTCTAAATTGTTTCATATGCCTTTTCGATATGCGAGCCTTTTTTTTCTTTTGAGTGGCGATAATGGTTCGTTCAAGTCACCAATAATCATCCATGGCTCTTTCTCTTTTGGGATTATTCACACTAACGACAACCCCATGTGGTGCCTCTCTGGAGCATGGGGTTCTCCATAGCCAAAAATGCCCAGCCGCCTCAAGCCATGGGAAAACAAAACGCTCCAGTCACGTGTGGTTGCGCCCCTTCTTGTTTTAACATTCCTACCTACATTATTGGTTGTCATAGGTCTTAGTTTGACCCCTATATGCCAAAATCATGCAGGTAGTAATATATTCCTTGATTCTTTCGTATGCCTTTTTGATGTGCAAACCCGAGATTTTTTTTATTTTGCGTGGCGACAGTGGTTCATTCAAGTCACCAGTCATCATCCGTGATGCCTCTCCCGATCATGGGGTTCTCCATAGACAAAAATGCCCGCTGCCTCAGGACATAGGGAATCAAAACGCTCCAGTCACGTGTGGCTCCACCCTCTTCTTGCTTTAACATTCCTATCCCACATTATTGGTTGTCATGGGTTTTGGGTTGATCCATTTATGCGAAATCATGCAAGTAATAACATATCTCTAAATTGTTTCATATGCCTTTTTGATATGAGAGCCTGAGTTTTTTTATTTTGTGTGGCGACAATGGTTCGTTCAAGTCACCTATCATCATCCATCACTGCTGTAAAAATAAGCTACAGTCACCCACTCTTTTGCCTTATAACCTTTTTTGCAGGTAGTCTTATATGATATTTCTAGTTTCTTTTTCACATGAAGCAACATAAGGCTTAGAGTTAGTTTGATAAGGGGCTCATGGTCCGCTTAACTATATGAAGTGAACATAATAAAAATGAGAGAAGTAAGCCCACATGAAACTTTGAATGCATTACTCCCTCAGTACGGGTTTAAAGGGTCAGTCGACCACTTGTCCTAGTCCTGAATTGCTTCAAGTGTCTGTCTCATTTTTCCTATTGCCTTGTTTCCGGCGTGCACAGTTTATAAGCCGTAGCGTGCAAGTGCCCCATGATGTGACTTATGAGGTCTGCATGCAATACAGTGCATTAAAATTTTATTTAAATATTCTGCCTTCGATTAATTGTATCGTATCGTATCTAAAATAGCTCTTATTTAACATGTTCTGTGAGAGGAAATGTTAAGAGTTTTCTTGTTTTGAAGCTAAGAGCTATACCTAGATTAAAATATTGTTTTTCTAACATTTTCCCCGCCCTCCCTCCTATATCGCTCTCGAGGGTGACCCGGGAGAAAACGTTAGCCGACTGCCGCTGGCTTTCCCAACACCTCACCCCCCTTCTCTGTCGCCGTTGGTGGGCGTCGTCGGGCAAAGCTCGCACGGCTTTGGTGGTGGTAGGGCATGTTCTCTCTTCATCTCGCATTGGATGGGGCAGCATGGGACGCTAGATCTGGTAGAGGC